TCGAGTCTATTTTGAAGAAATGGTGTTAGAAGAAGTTTAAGTTTAAAAATTTTGGCTCTTGCCGAAACCGGTTTGGCTCAGTGGATAGAGAGTCCCAGGTTTGATTCCGGTCAAGGGCATGTACCTTGGTTGCGGGCACATCCCCAGCAGGGGGTGTGCAAGAGACAGCTGGTCGATGTTTTTTTTTTTATATTTAAAAAAATTTTTGGCTCTCAAAAGAAATGTCAATCGTTGTACTGTTGATATTTGGCTCTGTTGACTGATGAGTTTGCCTACCACTGGACTTATGTTAAAGGACAAATGTAGAATATATTTGCAATATACTTAAAGATTTTGTTCAGAGATGTAGAGCCACTAAAAGTCAACAACAAAAAAACACCCACAAATATAAGGGATACATGAGCAAAGATCTGACCAGAAACCCTACAGGATTCCAATGGCCAGTGCACACAAGAAAGGAGAAATGCACCCTCACCAGCAGGGAGTGACACTCTCTGCCCTTGGCTTCCAGAACACCAGACAGACTTGGTTTTCCTCCTACATTTCAGCTGGTCTTCATGAGTTTCCCTTTTTTTAAAAAGAAAATCTTGCCCTAGCTGGTTTGGCTCAGTGGATAGAGCATCAGCCTGCCAACTGAAGGGTCCCAGGTTTGATTCCAGTTAAGGGCACATGCCTGGGTTGTGGGCCTGATCGCCAGTGGGTAATGTTTCTGTCTCTCCCTCTCCGCAGGAGGCGGCTGATCAATGGTTCTCTCTCATCATTGATGTTTCTATCTCCCTCTCCCTTCTTTTCTGAAATTAATAAAAAAATATTTTTTTTTAAAAAGAGAAAATATTGCCTGGCAGTAGTTGAACCAGGTGGTCACGGTTTGATTCTCTATCAGGACACATGGCAGGGTTTTGGACTTGATCCTCAGTAGGGGTGTGCAAGTGGCAGCTGATTGATGTTTCTCTCTTGTCACTGATGTTTCTATCTCTCCCTTTCCCTTCCTTTCTCTGAACTCAATAAAAACATTTAAAAATTATTTTTAATAAATAAGAATATATTACTGCCCTGTCAGTGTTTCTTACTGGTTAGCATCGTCCACGCATCAAGGGTCTCAGGTTTGATTCCCAGTCAAAGGCATGAACCTGAGTTGCAGGTTCAATCCCAGCTCTGGGCATGTGTGGGAGTCAACCAATCAATATATCTCTCATCAGTGCTTCTCTCTCTCTCCCCTTCCGCTCCCACTCTCTCTAAAGATGAATGGAAAAAATATTCTTGGCTGCCGGAACCGGTTTGGTTCAGTGGATAGAGCGTTGGCCTGCGGACTGGAAGATCCCAGGTTCAATTCTGGTCAAGGGCATGTACCTTGGTTGCGGGCACATCCCCAGTGGGGGCTGTGCAGGAGGCAGCTGGTCGATATTTCTCTCTCATCTATGTTTCTAGCTCTCTATCCCTCCCCCTTCCTCTCTGTAAAAAAATTAATAAAAAAAAATATATATATATATATTAAAAAGAGTTCATATGGAGGGGAAGCTGCAAAAATGTGACAACGAAATAGATCACAAACGAAAGAAATGGAGGACAAAAAGCGACTGGATATAGAGTTCAAATCTATGCTTATAAGGTTTTTCAAGAATTTCCTAGAAAAGATCGATAAGACCTATGAAAATATGAAAAGAGACCAACTAGAATTAATAAGGAATCAACAAGAAATGATAAGGGATCAACAAGAAATGATAAGGGATCAACAAGAAATAAAGAATACATTGTCTGAAATAAAAAATATTATACAGAGTCCTAAAAACAGAATGGAAGATCGCAAGAATCAAGTCAAAGATTTAGAACATAAAGAGCCAGAAGACACTCCTCCACAGAAGCTAGAAGGCAAGAGAATCCAGAAAATTGAAGATAATGTAAGAAACCTCTGGGACAACTTCAAGCGAACCAACATCAGAATTATGGGGGTCCCAGAAGATGAGAGAGAGAGCAAGATATCGAAAACATACTGAAAGAAATAGTGACAGAAAATTTCCCCCACCTGGTGAAAGAATTAGACTTACAAGTCCAGGAAGCACACAGAACTCCAAACAAAAGGAATCCAAAGAGGACCACACCAAGACAAATCATAATTAAAATTCCACGAGCAAAAGACAAAGAGAGAATATTAAAAGCAGCAAGAGCAAAGAAGGTAGTCACCTATAAAGGAGCACCTATACGATTGTCAGCTGATTTCTCAACAGAAACCATGCAGGCCAGACGGGAATGGCAAGAAATATTCAAGGTGATGAATAGTAAGAATCTACAGCCAAAGATAATCTATCCAGCAAAGCTATCACTCAGAATTGAAGGTCAGATAAAGAGCTTCACTAATAAAAAAAAAAAAAAAAAAAAAAAAAGCTAAAGGAGTTCATCACCACCAAACCAGAATTATATAAATTGCTGAAGGGGGTTCTTTCAGAAGAGAAAGTAAATAAAGATAAAAATTATGAACAACAAATACGTAACTATCAACAAGTGAATCTAAAAACCAAGAAAATTAAAAAAAAATATGATGAACAATATTAACTGTTGAATATAATAGAATCAGAGGTATGGAAGGGGAGTGAACTGACGATTCTTGGGGAAAAGGGGAGAGGGGGATGTGGGAAGAGACTGAACATAAACTGTGCAACTATGGATGAGGACAATGGGGGGTGGAGAAAGGGCAGAGGGTGGGGTGGGAACCTGGGGGAGGAGAGCAATGGAGGAGGGGAAAAAAGGAACATTTGTAATAATATGAACAATAAAAATTTATTTAAAAAAATAAAATAAAAAAGAGTTCATATGATTAAAAAATATATATTCTTGGGTGATTAACAATATCCTATATAATAAACGGGTAATATGCAAATAAACAGAAGGGCAGAGCAACTGAACAACCAAAGCATAATATGCTAATGATACGCTAGGTTGCTCCACTGCTGGCTATGATGTGCACTGACCACCAGGGGGCAGATGCTCTGACCAGGAGGTTAGCTTCCTGCTGGAGTCCAGCCTTATCAGGGACTGAGGGGATGGGTTGGACCCACCCTGGAGCCCTCCCACGTACCCTTCTTAGCCCAAAAGTGCACAGGTGGGGTCCCTCAGTCTGGCCTGTGCCCTCTCGCAATCTGGGACCCCTCGGGAGATGTTGGAGAGCCTGTTTCAGTCCAATCCCGCAGGCCACTCCCCCTGGGAGGGCGCCAGACACAGGGCTCATGGCTCCCAATCAGGACTGATGGGGTGCAAGACCAATACAGGCACAGTGGGGCCAGGATGAGAGGGAGCGGCAGGTAGCAGCTGCAGGCGGTGTTGGACTGTGTGTTTGTGGGTTTCCACACGATCCCTGCAGGCTTCCCAGAAGGACTCCCACCTGTGCATGAATTCATGCACCGGGCCTCGTGAGTGTGTGTGTGTGTGTGTGTGTGTGTGTGTGTGTGTGTTATTAAAGTATAGTTGACATACAATATTATATTAGTTTCAGGTGTACAACATAGTAATTTGACAGTTATGTACCTTTAAAAAATATGTGTTTTAATTGATTTCAGAGAAGAAGGGAGAGTGAGAGACAGAAACATCAATGATGAGAGAGAATCATAGATAGGCTGCCTCCTGCATGGCCCCTACTAGGGATTAGCCCGAAACCTGGGCATGTGCCCTGACTGGGAATCAAACTGTGACCTCCTTGTTCATAGGTCAAGGCTCAACCACCTAGCCATGCCGGCCCGGTGACATTTACGTACCTTATGATGTGAATACCACAATAAGTCTAGTAACCATCTGTTACCATACAAAGTCATTATATTATTAGCTATTTTCCATATACTTTACATTACAGCCCTATGACTTATTTATCACTGGAAGTTTGTACCTCTTATTCTCCTTCACCCTTTCACCCACCACCACCCACTCTCCTCTCCTCTGGCAGCCATCATTTTGTTCTCTGTACCTATGAATCTGTTTTTGTTTTGTTTAGCCAATTGTTTTGTTTCTTAGATTCCACATATACATTAATTCATATGTTATTTGTCTTTGATTTATTTCACTTGGCATTAAACCCCTCTACATCCATCCATGTTGTCATAAGTGGCTAGCTTTCTTTCTTTTTTATGTAATGTCTTAGCAGTATTCCATTGTATACATATACACATCTCCTGTATCTCATAAGTTTCTTGCTAGTTCTTTCTCGAGACCTTAACCTTGGAGAGCCCCGGGCACAGTCCTTGGTTCTTTGTCTACATCCACTCAGTTGAAGCATCATCCAGCTCCAGGTCCTCACTCAGGCTGTCTGCCTGGAAGTCACAGCCTTCCTCTCTACCTCATGCTGGTCTAAGAGTTGTTGTTTTTAATTGATTTCAGAGAGGAAGGGGGAGAGATAGAAAGATAGAAACATCGATGAAAAAGAAACATTGATCAGCTGCTTCTTACACACCCTCTCCTGGGATGTGCCCGCAACCAAGGTACAGGCCCTTGACTAGAATCGAACCTGGGACCCTTCAGTCCACAGGCCAAAGCTCCATCCACTGAGCCAAAAACGGTTTTGGCAAGAACTTCATTTTTATGAGGTTGGTTCACGAACAAGAGGTTTCAGGGATTCATGTGTATGTATGCCTATGTATATACATGATGTTATTTTTTTAGGAACAAACACATTTATGCAGGTGACACACTGAGATGTTATCAGTGTTTATGGGTTGTGGGATCACGATCAAATAGATTTAAAACTGGTGTTGCTATTATAAATGTGTAACAATAAGCTACATAGATTCTAGTTCACCCATAATTGGAACAACATACAACCATTAAAAATCATGTTGGCTTTACCGATATGGCAACATTCTAATCACTCGATGCCAGGTAAAATTGCAGGAGATGCCAGATATGCAGTCTAATGCAGTCTGATGGCAGTTTTATGCAATCTTTTTTTTTTTTTTTTTTTTTTAGAAAATTGCATGCGCCTAGGGAAAAGCCTGGAAGGAACTGCATGAAAATGTTACCTGTGCATCTCTCCAGGTATTGGGCGAAAGGTGAGTTCTAGTTTCCTGTGTTTTTCCGTTTCCACCAAAAAAAAAAACACGTGGATTATTTTTACCTCCATAAAACACAAAACACAATTGCTATTCTTTACAAGCAGCAAATCGCTGTCCACCCGGCTCGGTGGCCAGACAGGGCGCCCCGGTCCCCGGGTCCCCGGGATCCCGAGCGCAGCGCTGGCCCGTCCAGCAGGCCGCAGCGCCCTCCGGCGGCGCGTCCAGGGTGGCAGGGAGGAGGGTGGGCAAGGAGGACGAGGAGGCGGCGCCGGGCGTCCCCGCGCTTCCCGCGAGATCCCCTCGCCCGCTCCGCCCCGCTCGCCCCGCTCCCCGCGCCTCGCCACTTCCTGCCTTCGGTGCCCGCGCCACCCGCCCTCGTCCGCGCTCGCTGCCTGCCGCCCGCCGCCCGGCGCCGCGCCCGCCGGCGCCCCCGGAGGTGCCCCCGGCCCGGCCGGGCTGCCACCCTGCCGGCCGCCCCGCGAGCCGCTTTGTCTCGGGCGGGGCGCGCGGGAGAGGCCGCCAGGTGCCCCCCGCCGCGGGCCCGGGCCCCCCGCCCCGGGGAGGTGGCGGCGGTGCCCGGCCCCGGGGCGGGGGGCGCGCCGGGATGGGCCCCAAGCGGCGGCAGCTGACGTTCCGGGAGAAGTCGCGGATCATCCAGGAGGTGGAGGAGAACCCGGACCTGCGCAAGGGCGAGATCGCGCGGCGCTTCAACATCCCGCCGTCCACGCTGAGCACCATCCTCAAGAACAAGCGCGCCATCCTGGCGTCGGAGCGCAAGTACGGGGTGGCCTCCACCTGCCGCAAGACCAACAAGCTGTCCCCCTACGACAAGCTCGAGGGGCTGCTCATCGCCTGGTTCCAGCAGATCCGCGCCGCCGGCCTGCCCGTGAAGGGCATCATCCTCAAGGAGAAGGCGCTGCGGATAGCCGAGGAGCTGGGCATGGATGACTTCACGGCCTCCAACGGCTGGCTGGACCGCTTCCGCCGGCGCCACGGGGTGGTGTCCTGCAGCGGCGTGGCCCGCGCCCGCTCCCGCAGCGCCGCTCCCCGGGCCCCGGCGGCGCCCGCCAGCCCGCCCGCGGTGCCCTCGGAGGGCGGCGGCGGCGGGGGCGCCACGGGCTGGCGCGCCCAGGAGGAGCAGCCACCATCGGTGGCCGAGGGCTACGCCTCCCAGGACGTGTTCAGCGCCACCGAGACCAGCTTGTGGTACGACTTTCTGCCCGACCAGGCCGCGGGGCTGTGCGGCAGCGACGGACGGGCCCGCAGGGCCACCCAGCGCCTGAGCGTGCTGCTGTGCGCCAACGCCGACGGCAGCGAGAAGCTGCCCCCGCTGGTGGCCGGCAAGTCAGCCAAGCCCCGCGCCGGCCAGGCCGGCCTGCCCTGCGACTACACCGCCAACTCCAAGGGCGGCGTCACCACCCAGGCCCTGGCCAAGTACCTGAAGGCCCTGGACACTCGCATGGCTGCAGAGTCTCGCCGAGTCCTGCTCCTCGCTGGCCGCCTGGCTGCCCAGTCCGTGGATACCTCAGGCCTCCGGCACGTGCAGCTAGCCTTCTTCCCATCGGGCACAGTGCAGCCGCTGGAGCGGGGCGTTGTCCAGCAGGTGAAGGGCCACTATCGCCAGGCTATGCTGCTCAAGGCCATGGCCGCGCTGGAGGGCCAAGACCGGTCAGGCCTGCAGCTGGGCCTCATGGAGGCCCTGCACTTCGTGGCTGCCGCTTGGCAGGCCGTGGAGCCTTCTGACATAGCGGCCTGCTTTCGTGAGGCTGGCTTCGGGGGCGGTCCGAATGCTACCATCACCACTGCCTTCAAGAGCGAGGGAGAGGAAGAGGAGGAGGAGGAGGAGGAGGAGGAAGAAGAGGAAGAGGAGGCAGAAGGGGAGGAGGAGGAGCTGGAGGAGGAGGAGGAGGAGGAGGAAGGGGAGGAAGAGGAGGAAGCCGGGGAAGGAGAGGAGTTGGGGGAGGAGGAGGAGGTGGAAGAGGAGGGTGATGTTGAGGACAGTGAGGAAGAGGAAGAGGAGGAGGAAGAGGAGGAGGAGGAGAGCTCCTCTGAAGGCCTGGAGGCAGAGGACTGGGCCCAGGGTGTGGTGGAGGCCGGTGGCAGCTTCGGAGGCTATGGCACCCAGGAGGAGGCCCAGTACCCGACCCTCCACTTCCTGGAAGGCCAGGCAGACTCTGAGTCGGACAGTGAGGAAGAGGAGGACGATGACGACGATGACGACGATGAAGATGACGAAGATGAGGATGGCGATGAGGTCCCTGTGCCTAGCTTTGGGGAGGCCATGGCTTACTTCGCGATGGTGAAGAGGTACCTGACCTCCTTCCCCATCGATGACCGTGTGCAGAGCCACATCCTCCACTTGGAACACGATCTGGTCCATGTGACCAGGAAGAACCACGCCAGGCAGGCAGGAGTTCGGGGTCTCGGACATCAGAGCTGAGCCACGGGGCCTGGCCATGCCCTCAACCCAGACGTGGCAGCACCAGCCCGGGGCAAAGGACTCCTTGGGCAGGTGCTGTGCATGGAGCCAGAGCAGGGAGCCCCGGATGCTGCCATCACTTTAGCAATGTCCCCCAGGCCCTGTGAGCAAGCCCGGTCACCATGGTAGGGCCCAGGGTTGGGGTCAGCCTCACTGCCTGCTTATTGCCTCTTTCTCAGAGTCCTCTTTCCTCCCCATTTGCCCCTGAACTTGGGGGACCAGGTGGGGAGCTGTCCGGTGCTACCACACTATGCCATCTGTGGACTAGGCCACAGCAGCCACCAGGGATGGGCCCTGGAGGCTCCCGGCCAGACAGTGCCTCTCCCCTCTGCCGTCCACACCAGGTCTTTGGTGGGGGGGACCCCAAAGCCATTCTGGGAAGGGCTTCAGAGGAAGGTCCAGCCTAGGCCCCTAGGAGGCTGGCAGCCCCCCATCCCTGCCCCCTGACCGCCTCAAGAAGCACAGTCTAACCACAGGCTCCTAAGCCTGCCTCTGCCTGCTTTCCCACCTCCTCAGTCCCTTTCTCTGGCCCAGCCCATGTTCCTTTGGCCCTTGGTGTTCTTCACAGATTGGAGGTTCCCAAGAGGCCCTCCAGGGGAGTGAAAATGGGCATTTCCTTTGTGGGCAGCTGCAGGCCCCACGCCTCTCCTTCCTCCTGGCAGGGGGCCTGGGTCTGGGCCCAGAGTCCAGTTGTCCAGCTGCTCCTTTCCCAGTATGAATTCAATAAATCCGTCCACCCCCTTTTTGTGGGGTGAATGTTTTAACAGCCAAGGGTGCATCATCCTTCGTGGTTTGGGCTTGCGTCTGTCTTGGGGACACATACTTTCCCAGTTTCCTTTGTTCTTGCTCCGGTGGGACATGAAAGCAAGGGTTGAGTAAGTGGCCGCAGCCTAGGCCCTGACTAGCGTGAGAGGCACCTCTGTGTCTAACTGCGACCCAGACTCGGGGAGGAAGAGGTCTTCATGCACCTGCCTGGGCCTGGCTCTGAGTAAGCCAGGCCTTGTGCTGCTTTGTGGTTGGAAAGAAACTTGGGGTCAGTTGACGGACAGGAGGAAGGGAGCTGCAGTCTCTGTTGGGCTAAATCCCAGGTGCCTCGAGGCCTCTCAAGGCTCATTAAAAGTTGTTGCAGGAGTGGGGCCAGAGAGCAGAAAGAAAGGGGTGTGAGGGCAGCTCCTAGGCTCCAGGCTGGAGTTTGAGGGCCACACAGGTACCTCCAGAGGGAATCTCCAAGCCTAGTGGCTCTCCTTGGGGACAGTGGCAGGAGAGAGGTGATATTACTGGGGAGAGATGGCACCCCCCGGGAAACTGAAAATGAATTAGCAACTACCTTCGCGGTACCCTCCAAGTCCAAAGGTGAAGACGGGCCCCTTGCTGATCCTCCCCCCTTCCTTTTCTGAAATGGGCCAGCCTGGCCTTCCTGGCCCTCCAAGCATTGAGGCCTCAGGCCCCAGCGGTTCCGCCTAGTGTCGGGCCTGAGCTTGAGCAGGGCAGGCAGCTCTGGGCCCCAAACCGGTTTTCCCACCTTGGCTAGGGCTGGCATATCACCCATGTGGTCCCCCCCCCCCCCCTCCTTGCAGTTCCTCTTGCCACCCTAGAATGTTAAAGGGGTAGGGAGACTATCCAGGTAACCTTGTCTCCTGCCTGCCCCGTGTGTGGTCTCTTCTAGAAAGGCGAGGCCTCAGTGTATGATTTTGCTAACGAAGAAACATTCACATCTAAATAATTGCTGTGAGTTTATTTGAGCCGAATTATTGGGAAGCAGACTATCAACCTATTGAGGAAATACTCCAGAGAATGACTGGTGTGTTTTTTTTTTTTGTTTTTTTTTGGGGGGGTTTTTTTTGCCTTGTTTTACAAATTACAATCAAAGGAGGAGGCATAAGTGGGTTATAGGACATGTATTGGTGATAGATTAGGGAGGCAGGAGAAAGCAAAGCAAGGAAACCTCTGGGATTAAGTAGAAAGTAAAAGGATAGACACACGCTTCTTTTTACTTGGGTGGATACGGGATAGTTCACGGTCAACAATTAACACGATAACAATGAGGGAATTTGTGGTTTCACTCAGGTGCATCGGTTGAGCCCTGAGGGGTCCAAGTTACCCTGACTTTCCAAAGGTGTGTTTATTTTAGACGCATAAAGACAATAGGCTCAGTTAAGTTCAAAGTTGATCTTTGTCAGGAGTATACTGGCCCTGGGACATGACTATCCACCATAGAGTGCTTTTTAATTTAACAGGTTTTGATTTCAGACCATCCTTTGTCTCTAAGTTTGCAAGGCCGCCATGCAGGCCTTTGCCTGAGTTAGTTAGGTTAGGGATGTGGCCCCTTTTCATTCACAACTTTAACGAAGTGGAGTCACTGTTCCACCCTTGCCTTTCTGCACTCGGGACACACAGAGATCCCTTCGAAGCCCCTCCCTGTCATTCTCCCCGCCCCATCTATGCCTTGGAGAGGAGACCAGAGAGTCATGAGGGAGACCAGTCTACCTCCTGGCCTGCTCTGAGGTAAGTAGTGGGAGCAGTAGCATTCTCACCAGGGACCCCTGGCCAACCCAAGTCCCTTACCTCAAATAACAAGGCAAATCCTTTCCATTTGTCTCCTGCCTATGAGAACACCTCTTTTGCCCTGACCGGTTTGCCTGTGGACTGAAAGGTCCCAGGTTCTATTCCAGTCAAGGGCATATTCCTTGGTTGGGTGCACAACCGCGTTAGGAGGTGTGCAGGAGGCAGCTGATCGATGCTTTTCTCTCATCAGTGTTTCTAACTATCCCTCTCCCTTCCTCTCTGTAAAAAAATCAATAAAATATTTTTTAAAAACTTAAAAAAAAAACACACCTCTTTTGCTACAACTAAGATCACATCGTTTTAAAAAATATATACATTTCTTATTGATTTCAGAGTGTAAGGGAGAGAAGAACCTTCATGATGAGAGAGAAACATGTATTGGCTGTCTCCTACACGCCCCCTACTAGGGGGATCGAGCCTGCAACCGGGCATGTGTTCTAGCCGGAATCAAACCTGGACCCTTTAATCTGCAGGCTGACGCTCTATCCACTGAGCCAAACTGGCTAGGGCAGGCAGATCATCTCATTTTTGATAACACCCCATCTCAGGTGCTGTGCTCAGCACTTTGGATGCTTACAAAGCCCCTAGGAGGTGGGTAAAACCATGAGAAAACAGGCACAGGGAAGGTCCAGTAATGTGCCCAAAGCCACACCGATAATGTGGAAGCCAGTGTTTTCCGCAGGATGACCCTTGAAGTTGCTGTTTACTTATACTCTGCGCCCTTTTTACTAAGGAAGCACCCATCTTCCTAATCCTGGTAACGGTAGCCCTCTTGAAATGGAACTGGTTGCTGAAGTCCATTTCTAACCCATGGAAGAATAGCTTTTTATTTTTATTTATTTATTTATTTTTAAAATATATTTTATTGATTTTGTACAGAAAGGAAGGGAGAGAGATAGAGTTAGAAACATCAATGAGAGAGAGTCATTGATCAGCTGCCTCTTGCACACCCCCTACTGGGGATATGCCCGAAACCAAGGTACATGCCCTTGACCGCAATCGAACCCGGGACCCTTCAGTCCCCAAGCCGACGCTCTATCCATTGAGCCAAACCGGTCCCGGCAAGAATAGCTTTTTAGATGGAGGTGAAGGATGTGGAATTCTTGCAGCTCTTATATCTATAAACTCCTGTTCCAGCAGTCCCCATACAAATACAGGTCTGTAAATACCCTTCCTATTCTCCTCCCTGTTACCCCATTGAAACAAATAGGTGAGGACTATCAGTACTTTACAAAGGAGATTAATAGGGAGGAGTTAAATGACCTGTCCAAGGCACTGGCCTTGAGATCTGATGTTCTCCCTGGGAGTCTGGGTTTCGCACTAAATACTCAACCAGGTTGAAACCGGTTTAGCTCAGTGGATAGAGCGTTGGCCTATGGACTGAAAGGTCCCAGGTTCGATTCCGGTCAAGCGCATGTACTTTGGTTGTGGGCACATCCCCAGTGAGGGGTATGCGGGAGGCAGCTGATCGATGTTTCTAACTATCCCTCTCCCTTCCTCTCTGTAAAAAATAAATAAAATATATATTTAAAAAATAAATGTTCAACCAGGACACTGCTGGGACTGGGATGGAAATAGAATTTGGGGGGAAGGGGGGCAGGCAGGGATTGAGGATGAGCCTATGAGCACAGAGCTTTGAGGAGGGATCCAGCAAGGAGGTATATCACAAAGTCCAGATGGGAAGCAGCAGATGCCGCCTTCACTTGGGACTGACCGCTAAATAATCCAGAAGGGGGTCCCAGCCCTGGGGATGCTGGTGTAGGATTCTGGGGGCCTGGTTGGTGTAGGAAGGACTCAGAGTGAGCCAGTAGCTGATCCTCAGGTGGCGTGGGCAAAAATTATATCTTCTTGGGAGACGGGGAAGACAAGGCCGCCTATAATCGCCTTTTCAAATCCAGAGGCCTGATAGGAGTTAACGGGGACGAACTACAACTCCCAGAAGCCTCTGCTCTCTGGAGTCAAGGATGGTTGTCATGGTTTCAGAAAACAATATGGCCTCTCCCAGCTGGGACGGGAGTCTCTGGGTTAGAGAGGCAGAAACGGGTCTGGACGCCCTGGGCAGCGAGAGAGGAGAGATGCTTGAGCGGCCCTGAGTTTGGGACTGGACGCTGCACAGCTGGATCCGCCTGCTTTGCCGAGGGTGCCATGGAGGGCAGTGTGGACGAGGAGGCGCTGCACCAGCTGTACCTGTGGATAGACAACATCCCTCTGTCCCGCCCCAAGAGAAATCTCTCCCGGGACTTCAGCGACGGAGGTGTGCGCCTGTGTGTGTCCACATTTCTGTCCTGAATGCACGTGTATTAGGGGTCTTTGTGCAAACATATCGTTATGCTGTGTACGTGTGTGGTGTGCATGTTTGGAGGGTTGTCTATCTCCTAGGACTTCTCTTGCAGAAATGAGTCTGAGTGTGTGTGTGTCAGTGACTCTCTCATGGGACTTAATGGCTAAGATGCATATCTGTGTATGTATCTTTGTATCTCTGCGTGTGTGCATGAATATTGCTATATTCTATATGTTTATCTTATGGGAGTCAGAGTGTGTGTGTGTGTGTTCATGTGTATTGACACATTTTGTCATGTATGTATGTAGGGGAGTCTTGTGTGCATATGTGTTGCTTTGTGATTGTGTAGGTGTCTGTGTGCTTAAGATTGTCTCCTGGGATTTTAATATGTGACTCTTTGTGCTTTCGTGTGTATGTTGGTGACTGTCTCTTGGAACTCCAGTGATGGAAATATGTGTGTGTGTGTCCATCTCTGTGTGTTTGCATGTGTGCTGTATGTGTGTGTGGATATGTGTGTAGTGTGTGTGTGTGTGCTATGTGTGTCTGGACAGGTAGGTATCTACACGTTTTATCCTATCTGTAAAGGGACCTTATCACATATGTCTGTGTGAGTCTGACTTTCTCCTGGGACTTTGGTGTTGGAGTGTGTGTGTGTTTGTATCCATAGGACTGCCTGGGATGGAGACCCAGGATCGTGAAGGGCTCCCCTGGAGATTCCTTCTCCATTAGCACATCAGAGACCACAGTTTTCAAACGCCCTGAGTTAATGGGGAAGGAATATAGCCCCTCTGGAGTATGCTGGAGGCTTAGTCTCCAGCTGATCACTGATCTCACTTCCTTTTCCCCACTCTCCCCTGTCTTCTCCCCCCCACCTCTTCCTATCATCCTTTCCCATCTCTACATCTCCGACTCTCCACTCCGCCCCACCACTCTGCCCCCCATGATTCTCCCATGCCACCCATTTGTTCTCTCTTCCTCTTCTCCCTTTCCCATCCCCCATCTTCCATGTCTGCTCCCACTCCTCCTCCTTCAGTCCTGGTTGCAGAAGTCATCAAGTTTTATTTCCCCAAGATGGTGGAGATGCACAACTATGTCCCTGCCAACTCTCTCCAGCAGAAGCTCAGCAACTGGGGTCACCTGAACAGGTAGCAGAATATCTGGGTGCCCTAGCCCCTACTCTGGGCTCCCAGGAAGGGCTGCCTCAGCCCCTCCACCTCCTATGGTCCCCGCAGCCCAGGCAGACAGAACTGTCTGGTGACAACATTAAGGGACTCTTCTATTGGGGAGGTGAAGGTAACTTGGGACACCCAAGAACAGGGCTCAGGTATGGTGCTCTTCCATTTCCCCCCGGGGCTGTGCACTTAGCCCGGCAACTGCTGCACCCCTTTTCTCTCGGAAGAAACTGCTGCACCCCTTTTCTCTCGGAAGCAGCGGTGAGCTGAGCAGCTAGCTGCTCAGGACGTGCAGGGATGCCCCAGTATCTGCCAGAGCCCCGGCAACTGCTGCACCCCACCTCCCCCACTTCATTTCCGAAGGACTGGGTCTGCCATCCCTGTGTCTGCCCTCCAGGAAGGTGCTGCACAAGCTGAACTTCTCGGTGCCGGAGGACGTGATGCTCCAGATCGTGCAGTGCACGCCGGGCGTGGTGGAGCTGGTGCTCATTCCCCTGAGGCAGCGCCTGGAGGAGCGGCGGAGACGCAGGAAGCAGGGCTCGGGCTCCTTACAGGTGCCACCCTCCTCAGACTTCTCCCGCTGCTCGGAGGGGGCCTTCCAGCCTGCGGAAAGCACCCGCCGTGGCGATAAGTGTGGGAGAAGGGCGCCTGGTTAAAGGGACCCTGGCTTGGGCGGTGAAGGGAAGGGCCCTGGGGCCCTGTGGGGATGGGCGAGCACCAGCTCACAGAGGACCCGGGGGTTCTTTTAGGAGCTGGTTCCCCAGGATGGCAGTGGCTACATGGATGTGGGTAAAGTCGCTTTTACTTTTCCTCCTTCCCAGGGGGAGCTTTTCTCCTTTCCTTCCTTGGGGGGAGGGAGGAGGGAAAGTCAGGAAAACAGGACTCCGGAAGGGTTTCTCCACCACGTACCTCTTCTCAGGTTTGCCCCAGAAGGCCCGAGGGGAAGGTGCCCAGGACCCCCAGGCAGGGGGGCAGCTCAGGTAAGGAAATCGGATGTCCCTGACCTTACCAGACCAGGTAAGGAGGCAGAGAAGGCAGGAATGGGGTAGGGAGAGGGTGGGGAGACCTGGCCCAGGGGCACTGGAAAGAGGAGGGCCAGGCCTCCCCTAAGCTGCTTCCCACCCCAGGGGGGGCCGGCAGCCGGCGGCACGGCGGCCCGGATATGGCCAGATGCAGCACGGGGACCCAAGCTTCGTCCTCCAGATTGCTGAGAAGGAGCAGGAATTGCTGGCCTCGCAGGAGACGGTGCAGGTGAGAGCACTGGGGAGGTGCGGGGGCGTGGGACCTGTGGAGGGCGGGATGAGGTCTGGGGGGGTTCCGGGTTTGACCTCTGCGGGGCCGCCCAGGTCCTGCAGATGAAGGTGCGGCGCTTGGAGCACCTGCTTCAGCTCAAGAACGTGCGCATCGACGACCTCTCCCGCCGGCTCCAGCTAGCCGAACGGAAGCAGCGGTGAGCTGAGCAGCTAGCTGCTCAGGATGTGCAGGGATGCCCCAGTATCTGCCAGAGCCCCGAAAAGGCCGTCGACACACCCACAGAACATCCCATACACCCACAGAACGCGCGGACTAACGGGGCGGGCAGGTGGGCGGATCCAGCTGCTCCTAAGAGCCTCCCGGAGCCCCTCCCTTAGCGGGAGGGGGGCGTGGTGAGTGGGCGGAGGGACAGGAGCCCTTACGTCTGAGCATGGAACTGAGCCACCTCCTTGCACTCCATCCGGATCAGGAGAATGGACCACTACTTTCCAGAACCCAGAAACCGTGTGCGGAGACCTGGTGTGTACCCCAAAGCAGTGAGAGACACCCGGGGCTCCACTTTGGAGCTCCCTGTGCTGGGCGTTGGGGGATGGTCCCCGCACTGGGTCCGCACCACTAGAACCGGGTCCCCATCCAGCTGTGAGAACAGCGATGTCTCCATGTAGGCTGGTTCTTTGTGCCTTGGGCCATGGGGAAGCTGCCGCGGGCAGCTGAGGGAGTCCCTGGCCGCTCCTGGGTGCTCACCTGGGACCCACCTGGAGGCTGGAGGAGGGCAGCTGCTGGAGGGGAAGGGAGGAGGAGTGGGTTCAGCCAGGCGTGGGAAGGACCTCTGCTGTGCCTACACCGATGGCCCTCGCCTCCCATTAGGTACAGTTGAGAATTTTGGGGGAATAAGGGACAAGGCTGCCCCCATTAAAAGCATTGTGCTCTCTTTCTTGTGCTAACCTTCTCTCTCTGCCTGGATCCTTGTGGGCAGTGAGGTCCTGCCTCCCTTTTGCTGCACCCTCCACCCCTTGAGGGCCTTTTATGCCCAGAATGGGTCTTACCTTGTGGGCAGCTGGGCCCTGGGGGGCCACTGCTTTGTAGGTTGATGATACTCCATTGTCAGGTCTTCTGCACTAGGAGAGTCTGACTTCTAACTCTGGCCTTACTAGACTGACCCCCAAATCCACCCTCACAGTCTCCTCCATCTCTGTTCAAACCCAGATTTCAGATTCTTTCCAATGTAGCCACATTCTCGCCCTCAACCATGCCCATGGACTGACTCCTAAATGTGTCCTCTGTATGACTCTCAACCCTGCTCACAGACTGATCCCAAGTTTTATGGACTGAAGACAAGCTTGAGTCCCAAGCCTGAGTGAGATACCATGGCCATGGTGTGACCCTCACTCTGACCAGTAACATTGAACATTTGTAAATCCTAACCCCCCTACAATTCTGTTCCTAGGCATATATGCAATGTATACTCAGAAGAAACTTAAGCTTTGTGTTCTGTGGCACATGTATAGCAATGTTCATAGCAATACATTTTGTAACAGCAAAAGAAACTGAAAATAACTTGTTTTTCGTTACCTGTTACTGTGTATCAAATTGCCACACTCTTAAAGGTTTAAAACAGCATTTATTATCTCATATTTTCTGTTGCTCAAGAGTCCAGGGATGGCTTTGCTGAATCCTCTGCCTCAGGGTTTCTCACAAGGCTGCAATCAAAGTGTTAACTAGAGGTATAGTCTCATCTGAAGGCTTGCCTGGGGAGAGACTCACTTCATATTGTTGTCGATAGAGTCCAGGTTCTTGTGGAGTGTTGGAGTGAGGGCTCCGGTTTCTTGCTGATTGTTGGCTGGTGGCTGCCCTCATTTCCTCGTCATCCAGCAAGGGAGAGAGTTAGAATCTAGCAAAATGGAAGTTATAATCTTATCTAATGCAATTACAGAAGTGACATCCATCACATCTGTCATATTCTATTTATTTGAAATAAGTCAGTAGATCCAGCCAACATTCAAGGGGAGAGAAACACTTAGGTTTGAATACCAGGAGGCAGAGATCAGTGGAAGCCATTTTAGAAGCTGGCGACAAGGAGGAAAAGCAACAGAGGATAAAATCTAGGATAGGGGATTACTTCTAAGAGAAAGCAGAGGGCAGAGATGCAAGAGGCACATTAGTAGATATAAGTTATTTGTAATGTTTTAGTTCTTGGGGCAAGTGGTGGGTTTACAAGTGTTCATAAATAGGCTGAAACAAGTTCATAAGTGGGGAGAAACAAGTGTGAGGTTATTTATTGTTCTGAACCATTAAAAAAACAAGGATTATGTGGTGTCCAATTCTATATACCTGAGTTCCTAAATTAATAAAAATAAAAACTGATGACTATTCCTGACCTTGGTCTGTGCTCTTCCCTTGCACTCAGCTTAGTTTGAACACTGGCTTCAGCCTTGTCCTCTGCCTTACCCAAATTAACCGCAGCCTGTACACATATCGACCCAGTCTAGCACTGTTCTCTCTCCATAGTCTGTATTGGGTCTATTCTTTTCTCTAAACCTTTCTTTTCTTTTCTTTTCTTTTTTTTTTTAAAATATATTTTATTGATTTTTTTTAATTTTTTTTTTACAGAGAGGAAGGAAGAGGGATAGAGAGTTAGAAACATTGATGAGAGAGAAACATCGATCAGCTGCCTACTGCACACCCCCTACTGGGGATATGCCTACAACCAATTTACATGCATGCCCTTGACCAGAATTGAACCTGGGACCTTTCAGTTCACAGACCGATGCTCTTTCCACTGAGCCAAACCAGTTTCAGCTATTCTTTAAACCTTTCATTTTCATGCTCCTGTGTGTGGAGCTGGAAAGAATGGTTTGTAGAGGGATCTGAGGATCAGGATGTGGGGTAGGGCATGGTTCTGCCTGACAGAGCACAATGGAACCAGAATGCAGGTTCAGCAACTGGGGTTACCCCTTTAAGAGTCTGCTGACCTCCATTAGCAGAGGCTAGGCCTTCCTCCTTGAGTCCCCCCATCTTATTCCTACTATCCAGATATGCCTGAGTCTGTTTTAATATCTTAAAACCCTATAGATCAAACACCAAAAGCAGTGGAGAATTTTATTGAATGTTTCTTGGGAACAAATATGAAGGCGGGGGACTACATCACACATTATGTCTATAACTCATCTTTAAATCTATCTCTTGTTCTCTAAACTTCCCTTCTGACAGCCACTATCATATTTCTCCCACTCTGCTCCTCACTCCCCTTCCCTTTCTGATCCACACTAAATCAGATTTCTTCTGGTTTATTCATTCATTAATTCCTCAAATGTTTATTGAGTGTCTATTATGTACTAAATGCCAGGAACACAAGGATGAACTATAAAACATTATTTGAGTTCCATTTTCACAATCCTAGAAGGGGAAAGGCACATAAAAAGGCATTTAACATTTTTTTTGTTACTTAATATTTTGAATAGGTCAAACACATCATTATAAAGTGTATAAGCTTGCCTGGTGTATCTCAGTGATTGAGCATTGCTGACCCATGCACCAAAAGGTCACATATTCCAATCTTGGTCAGGGCACATGCCCAGGTTGCAGGCTCAATCTCCGATGTGGGGCGTGTAGGAGGCAACAGATTAATGATTGTTTCTATCTCTCCCTCTCCCTTCCACTTTGAAATCAATAAAAAATATTAAAAAACATATATTTTTCAAAAACATAAAAAGTGAAAACTCTCCTTGGTCCCACACACCTCCAATAGGTAACATTTTTCTTTAGTTTTTGCATATTCTTCCATAGCATCTCAATGTGGATACAAGCAAATATGCACATTTATTATCTTATCCCCATATTTTGTAACATAAAGGGGAAACAGACTACCCACTCTTTCCTGTACTTTTTGAAGGTTTTTAAAAAAATTATTTCATGTGCAAAAAGGTAGCATTCTGTCATAAGGCAGATGTCTTGAATGACCCATTCACTTAGTCCAGCTTAATGAAGCTTATGTCCTTCGCGTACTGACAGAAACACTGGCGACGTATGTTGAGGCTGTATTTCCGGATCATACTGTGGCGGTTTGAGCAAACGCGGCAAGAAGGAGAACCCTGGCCGAATTTCCTCAGATGGCTCCAGTAGAGTTGCTGGTGACCCATCTTGCTCTCTCCGTAGCAACAAGACGAAAGGCTCTTTTCTGTATCTTGATTTTCCACTCAACACGATCTCTTTTAGATATGTGATGGTCAATGTTATGTGCCAGCTGGCCTGGGCCACAGGGTGCCCAGACATTTGGGCAAACGTTATTCTGGGTGTTTTCTGTGAGGCTGTTTTTGGATGAGATTAACGTTTAAATGGATAGTCTGAGTGAAGCAGATGGTTTTCCCTGATGTGAGGGGGCCTCTTCCACTCAGCTGAAGAAGGCCTGAACAGAATAAAAAAGCTGTGTCTTCCCTGAGTAAGAGAATTCCTCCTGCCTGACAGCCTTTGAACTGGGAGATGGGATTTTTTTTTTTCCTTTGAACTTTAACTGGAGCATGAATTCTTCCTGGGTCTTGAGGCTGCCGGCCTTTGGACTGGAACTAAACCATGGCTCTCCTGGGACTCCAGCTTGCTGACTCATCCTCCAGATCTTGCAACTGGCCTGCCTGTCTCCATGATTGCATGAGCTGCTAACCCATCTATCTCTGCCTCCCATTGGTTCTGTTTCTCTGGAGAACCTTGACTAATGCAAGATTTTTCCAAAACAGTATGTACATTGAAACTTCCAAATAAAATTCTATTGTCTGTACCAAATTTAATCAGTCCTCTATGAACACTTGATTTATTTATTTTTATTTAAAAAAATATATTTTATTGATTTTGTACAGAGAGGAAGGGAGAGAAATAGAGAGTTAGAAACATCATTGAGAGAGAGTCATCGATCAGCTGCCTCTTGCACACCCCCCACTGGAGATGTGCCCGCAACCAAGGTACATGCCCTTGACCAGAATCGAACCCGGGACCCTTCAGTCCCCAAGCCGACGCTCTATCCATTGAGCCAAACCGGTCCCGGCTCACTTGATTTATTTTTAATCTTTTATTAAGAATATAACAATGAAAAACCTTACACATTCATGATTTAATGTTATGTTCAGTATATCTGCACAGTAAATTCTAGAACTGGGGTTGTTTGGTCAAAGGATGCATGTATTTGCCCTGGCTGGTGTAGTTCAGTTAG